CGCCGAGCTGCCCTTCGTAGCACCTGGTTCCCTTCCGACCCAGAGAACCTTTTGAGGTATAATTCACATTTTCTCAGTTGGGGTTCTTTGTTTCATCAAAACTTTAACAATTGATTTTTTTTTAAATCAAGGCTGGAGCAAGCCACCGGTCTGGGTTTCAGATTTGTGATAGGGAAATCAAAAGATGCGAAGAAAATGGCAATGCTTGAGAAAGAGATTGAAAAGTACAGAGATTTCATATTGATAGATGTTGAAGAAGAATATCTTAAGCTTCCTTACAAAATGTAAGAAATAATCATAACTAGTTTTTTGCACCAGCTTATTGATGTGTAAACAATGGCCTGTATCATCATGTGTATGTAAATCTTTTCCTTTTTGCCCTTTTCAGAGTAGCATTCTTCAAAGAAGCCTTTAAGCTATTTGAAGCAGATTATTATGCCAAAGCTGACGATGGCATTTATTTGCTTCCAGGTAAATCCCTGAGTGCGTGATTTCAAACGTAAATGCTTTGAGTTTGATGTTAAATTGTTTGTTTATTCCACCAGATCGGCTTGCAACTCTTCTTGCGAAGGAACGAAGCCATTCCATGACTTACATTGGGTGCATGAAAAAGGGACCTGTGATCACCGATCCTAAATTGAAATGGTATATATTTTTTTCTCATGTTGTTCTTTTATGATTCATTTTTTTCTGCCTTGAAATATGTATAATTATTGGAGGATTTATTAGTGTAAATTTTCAGGTATGAGAAATCAGGACATCTGATTGGAAATGAGTATTTCTTGCATGCTTATGGTTCTATATATGTTCTCTCTGCAGAGGTGGTGGCTTCTTTGGCAGCTGCTAGGAATAACAGGTTTGCCATTGCTTTGAGTTTGATTCCAATTGCTATTTGTAAATGCTGTATCTTGACCAGTCTAAGTATCGAACCAACCATAGAAGTATATATTCCATGTTTAGTCTTTAGTGCACCTGATTGCATTTCTTCAGTTAAAAAGTTGTTAATTATGATAAGATCTTTTTAATACATTTATTATTGAGCAATTTAGTTTGTGATAAGTTGAGTCTTTTCATAGTTAGCTTGGAACTTTGATTCACGAGTTCAACGCAATGAGTTTTCAATATAAAATAATGCATTTACTTGTGCTTATAGCTCATTTTATTTATACCTGACTTTTCTGCAACTCCTTTCAGTCCAATAAAAAAGTTTGTACATGTTGCAACCATATAGCTTTAAGTATCTCCTTTATGCATTCTTATATCCTTGTCATACTCTGTTTAATCCTACCAACTCCATAGGATAGCATATCAAAACATATTATTGGTTTTATTTGTATGGTTATTCTATTATACATGAGTTGTTCAACCTTTCAGTTTGAGGATGTTCAACAATGAGGATGTGACCATTGGGTCGCGGATGCTAGCCATGAACGTGCATCATGAAGATAACAGAGCAATATGTGATCCTAGATGTACACCTACATCAATAGCAGTCTGGGATATCCCAAGATGCTCAGGTAGCACAGCTGAAATAATAAAACCTGTTATGTCTTATTAACAAGATGTTTTTGCTTTTTGGATTTGATAAATGCCTAGAATGCATACGTGTTCTCGATAGTTTTATGTATTCGTGTTCCTCATACTTTACCTTCCATTATAAATTCTAACACAGGCGTCATAAAGTGTGCATTTGCCTGTACCTTTGTCAAGATGCTGCTATTATCCTTCCAAGTTTGATGCATACAGATGTAGATTAGATACTCGAGAACCTTTTCACCTTCATATTGTCTTTGTGAAGTGTCATTTTGCTTTGACATTTGTTGATTTTTGAGACTAGGGATTACTGGATTTCTGTCGAATTATTATCTTACTGCCTTGAAACCTCACTATTTCCGGTATCATGTTATTTATTAGTCTGGAGAAGAATGGGGGGGGGAAATGAAAAATAGAGATCCCACCGCTTTATACCACGCCCCACGGTTTCCTCATTTGTCTGTTTTACTGCTAATGCTTTCCCTTTGGCTAATGCTTATGCTATGGTTTAAGATGAGATAGCTTCATGAAATTTGTTCATGATACGCCGTGTCTGCTTTCCTTGTTGAACAAATTGGTGTCCATTTTATAGGTTTATGCAATCCGGCTAGCAAACTTAAGGAGCTGCACAAGATCGGAATGTGCTCCGAAAGCCCAACATTGCCACCTGATTACGTATAATACCTTGTTGGCTTGAATTTAGCGGGGACCATGATTGCGCAAGGTCAGTCGGTTTCTTAAAACAACCTGAAATGCGATAAATGTGGTGTTCTTATCGGTAAACTAGCTAAAGCATTCTATTCTTTTAACACGTGCCGCGATGAGGCTGTCGGAAATAGGGAGGAAAAATAATGATATGTACATCATAGTCATAGGTCGTATCGGACGATATGTAAGATTGTTGTGCTATTTATAGAATCATTAGAAGAGAGGGTTACGCAGGGATTAGTTCGCATTTTGAAGAGATTAGATATTGATTGTATTCATTTGATCCTATAGGGTTTCTTTGAGGTACAATTATCATTCCATTGTGCTCAAATTGATACATATGCATTTGTATTCCTATTCGTATTCGTATTAATAATCTAATTATTTTACCCAGATTTATTCCTCACAAAGAGATGGACCGCTAACTAATGTAGTTGATTCGGAATCAAGTTGTTCGAGTTTAAACAAGGTAAATTACGCGTTTAGTATCTAAATTATCACTTTTAGTCCGTCTTAGCACCTTAACTTTTAATTTTTTTTTTCAAAATCATACTTAAAATTTTGTTTTTATTTCATTTAGTACCCTGTTCAAAATTTAAGGTAAGTTTTTTTATTAAAAAATTTAAAAGTTTAAGTATTAACACGGAACAAAACTTATAATTTAAGTAATAAATGTGTTAAATTTCTAACGGTGAGGTATTAAAATGAAGAAAAAAAAACTAAACGTTATGAATGGTTTTAAAAAAAATTAAAAGTTTAAGTACCAAAACAGATCAAAACTGATACTTCAAATATTAAATGCATAGTTTGCCCAAATTTAAACGACTCAAAACTTAAATGGTCTAATCTCGTCCTCAAAAAGAGTGCAATGAAATTCTTACCCGATGCATCCATGCATTTAAACTCTTCCTGGGGCTTTGAATTTAAAGCATTACTTATTTCTTTTTTAGTTAAAAAGTAGACTTGTAAGAAGACAATTAAACAAAACTCTTATGAAACTCATAAGTTGGCATTAAAAAAATAATAAAACTATTAGTTCTATTAATCGTTTAATTAAAAAAAGGGGGTAATATCGGAAAATTAAAACAAAAAAATAATAATTTCGTGTTCTTTTTAGGTAATTCTTGTCGTTTACCTCACAGCAAACACTCCGTTGGCCTTTTGCCTCACTGATTCCCTAGTCTTTTGAGAAACCAAAAACATAAATTTATTATAATAAAGTATAAATGTAAATCTATTACGTATAAAATTTATTACCTTATCTAAAGGTTTTTAAAAAGGCCGAATGTGACTTGTAGTGCACGTGCTATTGTATTATGTTGTTGGATGTGGTGTACTCTTTAGGCTTGCTATCTTATTGGTTACAAGTTGTACAAGATTTTCATTTTTTTATAGAAGTTATTATATTTTAATTATATTTAATTTATATTACTATTATTTGGTTTATAGATTCTATACAATTTATTTTATATAATCTGTTTGTTTTAATTTTAGATTTTAAATTTTAAATTTTATACCTAAATCTAAAACTTTGAACTTTATATATAAATATTTAAATAGATTTTATACTATTTATGAATAAAAACCATAATTTAAATGAGTTTGAACCATAAATGTATTGTGCTTGTTTTGATTTTTTTAATTTTAAATTATCATATTATTGCAACCGTCTTTCGGTTGGGTCCGGAATTGGGCTTCGACTTGAATTGATTAGGTTAGAGTCGCCGCCGACCACTTTAAAATAAATTTAGGTGTGTCGGACACCATTTTATCTGATCTGCATTGTACCAGAAACGTGTTGGGTTCGGGAGTCGGTTACAGTCAATGAAGGATTAACACCCTTGAATCGCCCTTTCGGTACCAATTAATTTACCGGTTGTCTTTAATTTCAAAAATTAAGATTTAAATTAAAATTTAAAAATTCAATTTGAATTAATTACCTTTAATTGATGAAACAAAATTCCCCTAAAAAATTAAAAATATTATTAAATTATAAGAATAAAAATAAATAAATAAATAAATATGAAGACTATTAAAAGCTCGGTTCAATAATAATAGTTCGTTTCATTGTCCCCACGCCAATCCACTTTTAACAGTTCACTATAATAAGTGAAATGCTATTTCCTTCAATGTTCACCACTTTGGGATGCGTGGAAAAGAAGAATTGAGAATAGCACTATCACACAATTACCTATATTATTTGAACAGTAATTCATGGATATGTTAACCGAACTACTTATTGCCACTAATGTACTTAAGGCATCCAATACATATTCGAACATAGGTATCAATGCGATCCTCTGAATATAATAAAAAAAGAATTCTCATAGTAAACATATAACTATATTCGAAACTCCGAAAACGATCACCGCTATTATAATTTATATTCAAACAAGTGCCCATATCCAAAATGAAACAATAATTGTTTACCTCGCAAATGTCGGACACTCATCAAGAAAATCGCCACAAGTCGTCGAACGCGATCATGGCGGAACTAAATGATCCAAACAACAAGATCAGTATATCTATCTTGAGACGATAACAGCGAGAGGAGAGACGACGGTGATTTGATGGAAAAATAACAGGGGTAGTCGGTTAACTACCCAACAACCGGCCGACGAGGGAACTAACGGAAGTAGCTATAGTCGACGATAGTGACCACGCGACCATACGTTGAGGGCAGCAGCGAGAGAGTGTATGCAGTGGTGTTTCAATGCTGTTCATGGTGCCATTCAGACTAAATCCGACTAATTCGGCCTTTACAACCAACCCCCGGTGAGACGAGCGACCACGACGACCGTGAATAACACCATGGTTACTGACCCCACTACTGCGATATCTCCTTCCAGATTGTTAGCAGAGGCATCGAAAAGTTCGAGCTTCGTAAGATTTCGCAATTCGACGGGATGTTTTCCGGTCAACTCATTGTTGTAAAGCTCAAGCTGCCATAGCTTGTGAAGCTTTCCGACCTCCATGGGAATCTCACCGAACAGGTAATTGTATTGAAGCTCCAATTCTATAAGCTTAGTGAGGTCTCCAATGGCGGGTCGAATCTTCCTCCCGATGCGGTGAAGAGAAGCTGCTCCAACTCTTCAATCCACTGGCAGCACTCATACAAAATACTTCTCAAATCTTGCAATGGTATACTGTAGAAATGGAGATGGCTTCCCCCGATCTGCTGCCTCTCCTTTGTTTTATACTCCAAAATAGAAGACTCCCTCCTCAGCAAAAGACGTGAGGTGAGGTGAACGTGGGTGCAGTACTAGTTTCCCACGGAAAAACGATTTGAGATACGTGGGGTCCCGTGGTGCCTACAAAATAATTATATATAAATTAATAATAATAATAATAATAAATACTAATAATAATATAGACTATATAATATATATATTTCAAAAAAATATTTGTTAAACTATATATTATATTTTAAAAGGTTTTCAAAAATATATATTATATAGTTTTCAAAAATGATTTTAAAAATATTATATAAGTTTTCAAAAAAAAATTTTAAAAACTATATATTATATAATTTTTTCAAAATGCTTTTTAAAAACTATATATTATATTTTCAAAATGATTTCAAAATTATATATTATATAATTTTTAAAATGTTTTAAAACTTATATATTATATATAAGTTTTCAAAAACATTTTAAAAATTATATAATATATATATTTTCGAAAACCGTTTTTTGAAAACTTTATATTATATTTTTAAAAATATTTTCAAAAATTATATTATATTATTACATATATATATACATACAATAAAATAAATAAAATAACAAATTAAATCCGAATAAAAATAAGTGTCTATATTAATAAAAAATTAATTATAAATTACCTTTAAAATGTTGTGACAACAAAAAGTAAATCTAAACCTTCCAAACAAGTCTTGCCAACTGGCCCAAGTCACAGTTGACATTTTTTGAAAACCAGTGGGGTCATGATATTCGTCACCTCATTCACCCTCTGTTCGACACGTCATCCAACAGACACATCCTACGTGGCACCAATACTCCCCTTTATATTACGCGTTTCTCTAGTTTTCTTCATCTCCCCAACAAAATAAAAAATAAAAAAAAAAACCTTAAATATGATGACGTTAAGGGGAAAAGAAGAAGAAGAAGAATCGAAGTCGCCGGAGATTGAACTGCCAGGCAAATTTCCCAGGAATTTGAGTGTTTTGTTGACAGAATCCGACGACGAAAACGAGCTCTACGACGAGGGCCTTGTCGAAGAAAAGAAACTGGAGGAGATAATGCAAGAGCTATACAAAGAGATAACACTAACAAGCTCTTCTTCTTACAACACTTCTCCTTTCTTTGCGGTTACAAGTGTTAGCGGTGAGAGTTGTGGGGCCTCGATGTCTGACTCATTGTCGACTGTGACGGTCGGCATTGAGTTCGTGGCACCCGCCGGGAAGTACTTGGCTAAGAATGAGTTAGCTAATACTGTTGTACGGGGGGAAGAAGAAAATGAAATGGGCGGCTGTGATGAAATCTGATCGTTGATGATGATGATCTGTGGCTGGCAAGAGTTCTAGGATGAGTTCCACTGGAACCAGAGGAGTTCCCATCGCCATCAATTAAGTTGGCCGTATAGTAGGGCCCTTTAGTAGGTTACCGTGTCGGGTAGGGACGGACGTAAGAGGAGAACGGAATTGAATTTTTAAAATTTTATGACGATGAAAACCAATTTTCAATATATATATATATATATATAATTATAAAATATATAATAATTTTAAATTTTTATAATAAGTGGACCACTCCTACCCAAAGCATGATCTATCCCTATTCCTTAGGGAATGGTGACTTGCATAAATTAGTGATTTTAAATCTCAGGTTGGATGAAGCGCCAAGCATTTTATACGTATACAATCAAGGTATTCAAAAATATCAATGGTTCGATACCAGAGTCAATTTAATCGGTTTGAATATTTAAAATTGATAATCAATCAAATTAATTATTTAAAATCAAATAAATTAAACTAATTGAATTTGTATATATGCACCAATCAAGTGATATTAATGGTGTAGGGATTTATTATTGTCTTTTTAGGTCTTAGGACTAGACACTATGAATAATAAGAGTGTATGCGTTTGTTAAATTTTTTTTAGAGAGATAATATATTGTATTTGCCAAAAAAACTCGGGTATATGAATTGTTTATTTTATATTTTATTAGTAAGAGTAGAATAGTTAAAAGTATAGACATTTTGTTCCCCCAAAGGTGTTTCCATAGGGTGCCTGTAGGTTGACGACCATTCGGTTCGCTACTACCTTAATCAACTGCTTGTTGGTCCATTTAACTAACATTTTAATAAACCAAAGAAACCCAATGAGTGAAATCCAAGCTTAGTCCACTTGCAAGCCCATTACTTCCTCTTCCCTTGACAGTTAGGGGTGTGCAAATCCGGGTACCCGGATTTTCGGGTACCCGATTTTCGGGTACCCGGAACTTCCGGGTCGACGATTTCTCGGCCTGTGTCCCGACCCAGATGTTACGGGTATCCGGTAATCGGATACTCGGATTACGCGGGTACCCGGTAATCGGTACCCGATACCCGATTTTTAATTTTTTATTTTCAAATTATTAATTTAAAAATATATATACACAAATTTAAATGTTCGAAACTTCGAATTACATACTCTAATATCCGAACATAAAATTTAAAAGTTCGAAATACAAAATATAATAATCCATAATATAAATAATTCATTATATTTTATATAATTATAAAAAAAAACTAATCGGGTACCCGGAAAAACTAGATTTTGTGACCCGGGCCCGACCCGGGAAATGTCGGGCCGGGTACCCGACCCGGTCGGGTAATTTTTTTAAAGGATTACCCGGGTTTTTTAGATCCGGGTCGGGTAATTTTGCACACCCCTATTGACATTAGGCTAAACCCTATAATATTAGGCTCACGTCACTATTTGAAACTGTATTGGTGATTGTTATCCCTATCATTTGTAGCCCAAAGGCAAGAATATGTTAGGGGTTTTTGTATTAATTTAAAATTTAATTTAGCATTAACTGTTGATCAGGCATCTACAATAGTAAAAATGACGGACCATACAAAAAAAAAATTGAGATTCATGACAGTTGTTAGGCCTCTTTGGCCCCAAGGGCTCTCTGTCCCTCTACAGAACTAAAAATAATATTTTACATTTTCTAATAATTATTTAATAAACGGTTAACGATAAATTAATAAAATTATAAGAAAAAATTAATATTTTAAATTATAAAGTAGACAAAATTTAAATTTTAAAATAATATACGAACTTCTAACATATTTAAACCATTATATTTCAAATGGTTTGACCCTATACTATATTCATTTGTTTAGGGAATTCAACTTGGGAGCCTCTTTTGAACAAATTTATTTATTTTATATAAGAAAGAAAACAAAATTCACATCAACCGACAGGCGAAACTTTTTATATTTGTAGGGACAGAAAACAAAATTTAACCATTCAAATAATGGTCTAATTGTCTGCCAGCGATGGAAATTGTCATGTAGCCGCGGTGCCACGAAAGACGGCCCCCCTTAATCAAGCAAAGCCAATCATGGTGAATCATCAATTTCTGTTTGCATGCATGTACATGTACATGTACATCCCATAATTTAATTATCTAGGGACAAAAGTCTACGCATTGGTAGGAGTGATTCACAACCCTCTACGTAGCCTAGGTTTCCATCATTAAAATATTGGGGGAGTACACAAATGGTTTCCAATTATTAGATATTATTTTGTTAAGTGTTATGATTATTAAAAGTTATAAAATGATCCCTTAATTGTAGGAATTTTTTTAGTCTCTCAACTATTAAAAGTTACAAAATGATCACTGAACTATTTATTATGTTTCAAACTCATCTTTTTTCGACTAAAAAGTAAAGGTTGTCTATTAAAAGTTACAAAATGGTCTCTCTATTATAGGGATTTTCTTTGTTGAGTCCCTCGACTATTAAAAATTATAAAATGGTCACTCGACTATTTATTATGTTTCAAACTCGTCCTTTTCCAGCTAAAAAGTTCACGGTCGTCTAAACTAGACGTTAACATACTGACTAAGAGATATGATAGTCCTTTAAGATTATGAGATCATATTTTATCATATCTCAATCAGTAAGATAACGTCCAACTCAAATTGTCGTTAATTTTTTAACGGAAAAGGACGAGTTTGGAACATAATGAATAATCGAATGACCATTTTGTAACTTTTAATAATCATGAGACTCAACAAAGCAACTCACTATAATCGGGGGACCATTTTATAACTTGTAATAACCAAGGGACTTAATAAAGTAGTATTATATAATCAAGAGATCATTTTTTTATTTTACCCTAAAACATTTATACACCAAGAACATGGATGGGCGGAAAAGGTATAGACATGACAGTCGTATTTTAAAATTTTAAAATTTTCATATAATTTAAAAAATAATAATTTTAATTTATAATACATCTTTGTCTCCTTAAAATTTATAAAGTTTATCCCCTTAAAATTTATAAAGTTTATCCCCTTAAAATTTTATATGTTTTCTCCCCTAACATAAGACCCTTCACTTGTCATTGACAATGATCATTAATCTTATAGTTTTACAATTTAATTTGATTTAATAGGATGAGATGTTACAATTTTTAAATAAAACTAGAGAATCAAATTCTAGTGTTTCAAGAGCGAACATAACTGTGAGACTTCTTCACAATAGACCTCCATAATATATAGTTCAAATTAATCGATTAAATTGAATATTGATAATTATACCAAAAAAATTCATTCAACGTTTTTTTATTATCACTCAAAAATATCATTGTAAGCGGATACACTTGTTTATCAAAGTATCTTCAACTTGATCAACAAATATATGATCTTTGTCCTTTTTCCTTTTGGAATTATTTGTCAAATTTCATATATGGTGCATATGGTTATACGATATGGTTGATAGATATATCACGGCATATTTGAAGATGACTTATGTCTAATAGTTTAGGATTTTGACTTGTTTAATAATTGGCTTAATTACAATTTTAGTCCTCTTACTGTGGTAAATTTTGATTTTTGCATTATTTTGTCTTTGTGTTGTTATTTTTAACAATGACAACTGAATTTCATTAATAAAAATGGAGAAATCAAAATTACAACGCATCTAAAGAGAAAATTGGAGACAATAGTCACCAAAAACTCATACGTAAAATTAAAATATTAAACCCAAATATACGAAGAGAATGAAACCTTCCAAACATCAAAACAATCCAATAACCTTCATAAAACTCCTTGTCTCTGTCGAACGAGACGCTTTAAGATAAATAAAGAAGTAGTGATGTAATATCCCAAACACCGGGTCAGTGACTAAAGTGTAAGAATTCAAAATTTAGTGGTTTGATTTTGATAAATTGAAATATTTAAGGATTGATTTGGGAAATTTTTGTTTAGGATTAATTCTCAATGATTGAAGGATGGAAGGGAAAAATGGTTTTTTGGCGTAAAATGAATTTAAAATTCATTTTTAAGTTTATATAACATGTGAGGAAAAGGAAAGAAAGGCCTAGAACTTTTCTCTTCATCTTCTCTTCTTCCTTTCTCCACCGTGAAACTCCATGCTAAGGTAAGTGATTTTAAAGTTGGTTGTTTCTTTCAATTTTGATTTGGTTTTTAATCCTTGGGTGATATAGAAGCTTAAGAAAGCTTAAAGATGACTAGAAACTATTAGATTGATGAGTTAATGATAAATTGGTAAAATGGGTTTTTAAGGGATTTGATGAAAATTGATTAGTTTTTTTATTTAAAAATATATATTTGACTTGTCAAAGGTATGAATAAGATGTTTGAAGTGTTAGAAAGGATTGAAAACAATGTTGAAGATTGAGTATGATTTTTAGTTTTAAGTGTTCTTTGAAAAATTTAGATATT